TGGTGTTTTTTTTTCCCCCCTGGCCCCTCTCCCTTCCCCAGCCACTGCGGCCTGCCCGGACAGGAAAGTCTTGAGATAGCCGGACGGGGCCTTGCCAGGGGCTGGGTGAGCGGCAGCAGAGCGGGGCCTGCTGGATCGGGGGCTCAGCACGGGGAGCTCCTGGCTCCAGCAGCCCTTTGAAGGCGCCGCGGGGGAGAGGAAGCCGCAGGGTTCAAGTTGAGGCCAGGCCAACCCTTGCCTGCTGCCTCCCCCATCACCTGCTGGCCCCAATCCCCTCAGAGCTCAGGAACGCCGGGCGCCTCGGCGCCCCGCAGGGCTCCCTGCCCTCTGCGGTTGCTCCCACCCTGCCCATCTCTCCATGGGAGCAAAGGAGGCAGGATGGACAGGGCGCCTCACGTGCCTCTGGCTGCCGCCATCTTCACGACACTTGGCTTGGCCTTTTCTTCCAGTTTTTCCTCCCCCCTTCGCGTAAACTGCCATAAACACGCTCTGATTTTGTAAATGATGACGCAGACCCCAGGGAGCTGCAACAAATGCCGCTTCCTCCCCGTGCGCGCACGATAACCAGCAAGGCAAACAAACCGAGAGATGCTCCCGGGGCTGGCCAGCCCCCAGGCCCAGGGCCAAGGAGGCTGCAGTCGTGCAGCCATTGCCACAGGGAGCGAGCGGGGACAGGCAAGACTCTGTCAGGGGCCCGTGGTCACCTCCTGAGCAGGAGGGCACCCGCAGGAAACACTCAGTGGTCTCTGCACCTCCCCTGCAGGAGCAGGTCCTGCTCAGGCCATGAGGAAGTGGCTCCATCCTACGTGGCAAAGCCTTGGCTGGAGGCTGCTTCTGGTGCAGTGATGCTAGGGAGGCGCACCTAAACCCTCTGGCTCGCCCCAGTGGGATCCCTCCTGTCGAGCCAGCGCCGCTGTCAACACACCCATCCTGGGATAGCACCCTCCTTTGATTCTGTCCCAGCCACCCCGTGTCCTCTGCTAGCACCTACTCACATCCCTACTGCCTTGCCCTGCTGCAGGCAACTCCTCCCAGGCAGCACAGCCAGGCCCAATGCGTAGGACATGCCCCAGCGCCCCGCACCACCTGCGCCATGGTTCCCATCACCATCCAGAGCTACAGGCTGCCCTAACTGCCCCATCAACTCCCTCTGCCCCTGCTACTTGCCACAGGCTGGCCTTGCCCTGGCGAGGAATCATACTCCAAAGCCGAAGGTAGCAGATTAGGCCAGTCAGGAACAGCATCTTCACAGCCCGTATTGCTGTACTCGTCCTCGGCATGCTTCCTGGCCTCGCACATGCAGACTATTGACTCGTAAAAGCAGCTTACGGACAGCTCAGTTTGCAGCTCCTGGCTCCCAACTGGCCCCCGAGGCAGGCGCAAGGCTAATTCCCATTGACTGGAGCTGCTGCAAAAGCACAGCCAGAGAGGGAGCAAGAACAACCTCTCTTCCCAGACACATTAGACATCCCTGTGCCACAAGCCACAGACATTTCTCCTGGATATGGAAGTGCAAACCGCACCTTCCTCCTCTCTGAAACCTACTGCTTGGCAGCAAGAGCAAGGGGAACCCCCGAGCACAGAGATGGGCGCCCGTCCCAAGAAATCCCAGTAAGCAGCGGGCACTGCTGCCAGCAGACCAGGTCAGAAAGGAGGCAGGAGAAGCCTCCACAAGGAGAAGCTGGAGACCTCGGCAGATGTAGGCTCGACTCACTTGGGTGGTCTCTTTGGCATGGCCAGGGATCCCCAGCTTTCAACCACCCACCAGGTTGCACTGCCTCATCCCATAGCCCGGCTGCACGGTGCCCTGACAGCAAGGGATGAAGTGAACACGAGAGGCGGAGCAGGGAATGCTCCTCGGAGTTGGGGCCAAGCGCACACAAACAATCCGGCAGCATACCAGGCCTAACCATGCTTATCCGGAATTAATTCTGCTGCCCTGGGCATGCTGCGCGCCTCCAGGATGGCGACATGCATTAACACATGCATCCCCAGGATGGCAAGAGACAGTCCCACCCACGGCACGAGGGAGCAGCGGGCAGCACAGAGCCCTTTCCTTATGCTGCACAGCATTCAGCGCGCCACTGAACAGACGCCCAGACCTCGATCTCAAAATGGAAGCAGCCCCGGGAGCGTGCACGCTATGGATTGACCTATATTGCAAAGCCACAGGCTGGGCTCTCCTCCACAACCTGCTTCTCTGGGGAGGTTATTCTCCTGCCTTGCCCTGTGCAGAGCAGAGATGAGTGAAGCGGGGCAGCAAGAGCCACGCGGCTTCCCGGAGCCCTCACCTCAGCGGAGACGCTCGTGGTCCGTGAGCGCTCTGCTCGCCCACCACGGCCATCGTCCTAGCAGCAGGACGTGAGCTGTTTCAACTGCTCATTGCAATGTCTCCACACGCAGGAGGACGCTGCCACCCGTGCAGTGACGCGGGTGACAAAACATTGGGGAACATGCTCTCAAACCACCTCCCTTCCTGCCCCTGTGGTTTGTACACGGGACACAGCCACGTGCACGGAACAGCAGCAGGAACTTTGGCAGGGCCAAATGGCCCAGGCTTGCTTTAGCAGCACCCAAAACCAACTCGGGTCTCCCTGTTGAAGCAGAAACCAACTAGTGCAATACTTGGATAGCTGGTCTTGAGGAGCACCCCATCCCACCAGGCACACCAGCACCCCGCTAGCTGGTGTGCCTGCATCAGCCAGTGCACCCCCTCCTCCCACAGGCAGAAACCACTCACCCGCTTCCAGCCTGAACTTGCCCCAGCCTCTTCATACCATTGATTTTTTATACAGAGACCAGCTTTTAACTCCAGCAGTTCTCCCTCCCCCAGCCCCGGCTCATCCTTGCTGGATTTTCAGCCGGCATGCAGGTCCCTTTCTGCTGAGCTCAGCCAAACTGAAGACGCCACGCTGGGCGCTACCGGTGCCATTGCCTCTCTTCCATCAGTTCCTGCACAAAATCACCTCCCTGGGCCACTGGTGCCAAGTCTAGTACGAGGGCAAAGTCCTCTGGTTTCACAGCCAAGTCATTTCTGGGGAGCCCCTGCAGCCCTACCAGGCAAGGGGCTGAGGCAGGGGGAGAGTTCCAGTCTAAATGGGAGAAGCAGGTTGTGGACAAGCCATGGGGAATTGGGGTCCCATGGCCAGACCATCCTATCACATCCTTCTCCGCGTGTCCGGAAGCATGCAAACAGCCCTGGTACTGAAGGGTTAGCTCCCTTCCCCCATTCCCGCATCCTTCCCTCCTCTTGCGGGCTCCCTGCCAGCTCCCAGGCGTTGATACCAACTCGGGGGTCGGGTGCCACACGTCAAGCTACTGTCTGGACGCCGCCCCCCCCTCCGGCACTCGCAAGGAAAGCTCTCCCGCAATGTGGAGCAGCTCCAGATGGAGAGAGCCACCGAGCCACCCACCCACGAGGGAAAGCATATTGGAGGGGCTGCGCAGGCTCCCTGGCCCCTGGGCGGGGAGGGAGAATGGACAGGAAGCTCCTCTGGGTAGGGACTCGGATCCACACTGAGTTTTCTTCCCTGCTATTGGGAATGGGGACCGAGGGAGCAGCCTGCTAATGTCCCCAGGGAAAAGGAGGCCAGAGCAGCCTGGACCGAAGTGCTCCTGCAAGGGGCTGCGAGTGCAGCAATCTCCCTGCAATGTCTGCTCAGGTGCCCAAACGCTGCCCCAAGGAACAAGGCAGGCTCTTACCTTTGAAGGAGAGCTGCACTCGCGGGGTAGCAAAGACGTAGTCCTTGGCGTGGGTGGCCTGCCAGTCCAGAGTCAGCAGGGTGGCCCAGAGGAGAACACCGACCACGGGCATGGTGGGCATGTGCTGAGGTGACAAGTCCAAAAGGAGTGCGGGAAGGGTTGAGCCTGCCGGAGGGGGCACAAGAGGGAGAGACAGAGTTTGGGTAGGGATGCCCCAGGATGTAACTGTGCCAGAGAGACAGAGCTGGCGCTAGGATGCTCCCCCTCCCTGACCCTGCAGAGCTCCTTTCCCCAAAGCAAAACAGCTGGAGCAAGGGGTGGAAATCTGCAGGGAATCCCCCAGCCGAGCATCCAGCTGAGAGGCTCATGGGCTCAGCCCCCACCTCTCCTCCCAGCCCCGAGCGGAGACGCAGCAAGCAGAGCAGGGACCAAAGCTTTTCCAGCATGAGGAAAATCTGGACTTCATTATTCCAAGAACGAAAAAAAAAAAAAAAATTCCCCCTCTTCTCTCTCTCTCTCTTTTTTTTTTTTAGTATAAATAAAGGAGGAAGGAAAAAAAGAAAAACCCTGCGTGTGTGTGTGCCAGGCAGCTGGCCTCCCTGGGGCTCCGGCACAGAGCCCACCACGCTGCCTCCGGGAAGCCACACGCAGCCCAGCTCCACGCTGCCCCTCCATGCAGACCCTGCTCCCTCTTGGCCCAGCTCCCCTCCAGAGACAGGAGCAGGGGGAGGCAGGAGCATCGGCCCTGCAGCTCCAGCCCCAGGCTTCGGAGGAGACGGCTAGGGGGAAGCCCCCCACCTTGTCCCCTTGGCTCTGGCAGGGCGCGGGAGCTTTGCGCTCGGCATGTGGACGCGCTGCAGGAGGGCTCTGGGCAGCGCGGAGGGTTCCAGCATCATGGGAAGAGAACAGCAAGCGGAGCAGGCATAGCGTGGCGGGCACAGATGCTGCCTGAGCCTGCGCCCGTACTCCTGTCCCCCCAGGGACATGCCCCTCGCGGCGCTGCTGCCACAACGGCCACACAAGCCTCAGGTGACTTACTTTGCACCCCATGTATTGGGGCTCTCGCCACCCCTGCGGGGATGGTGCCGCTGCACCAACCTCTCCCCTGGCGCAGGCGGCACCCACATCTCCACCTTTTAGCCCATGCAGGGCACAGCCATGGGGAGGAAGATGAGGCAGGATGAAGAGCAGCGGGATGACACACGGCACCTCGAGGAGCCACTGCTTCCTGGGGCTTCCTCTTTTTTTTTTTTTTTTTTTCCTCCCTCTTCTCCCCTCTCGCTATCACCTTTGGAGTCAGTAAATATTTAGCTTTGCTCTTCTCCCTGCGCGCACACCCAGCTCCGCTCTATTGTACTGGCATTCACTCCCCTTCCAAGCTTCCCCCCCACCGCTGCTCCTCCCCATTCCCAGGCTCTGCCCGTGGCGTTAATGCTCTGCCTCCTGCAGCCGGGAGAGCCCCGAGACCCCCGGCACCCTGTGGCCCTCCAGACCCGCGGCCGTTTGCAGTTAAATAACGCCCCCAACCACCACCCCGCACACAAAAAGGGCCTCAGGAAATCATTCTGGCAAATCCTACTATTACATTTGGATGGAGGCGCGTCCGCGGCAGAGCTGGGGAGCGAGATGGCAAACAAAGGAAAAAAAAAATAGAGAGAGAGAGGAAAAGGAGAGAAGGCTCAGCAAGGAGGGGAGGAAAGGGGACCGCCAGCAAAAGGGAGCAGGAGGGAGAGAAGAAAGTGGGCAGCATCCAAGGTGCCCAGTGAGGAAGCGACCAGTTCTAAGGGAGCAAAATGGGAAATAGCCCCTTCCAATACACCTTGGCCAGGAAACCTTTAGGGCCTGTATCATTTGCACTCCCCCCGGGGAAACTGGAAACTCCAGCGCCTCCGGGGAGGCTGTTTCTCACAGCACAAGCAGGCCGCATTCCTCCCTTGGAGCAGAGGAGGGAAGCATTTGCTATTTAAAAAACAATTTAGAAAAAAAAGCCATAAAAAATAAGAAGTTAGGCCTTCTTTCAGCAGTTTTCGGCAGCCGTGAGCCCCTTGGGGTGCACATGTCTTGGCTGTGCGAAAGCAGGACCGCCGCATGCCCATTGCCCCGGCTGCCTGAAGAAGGAGCTTAGAGCCCGGGAAACATTGTGAGCTGCAGGACAGCGTGTATGAGGGAGGCCCTTCCCCGCCGGGGGACCAGAGGCATTGGCAGACACAATGACATCAGCAAGAAAAATCACCACAGCCCCCTCGGACCTGGCCAATAACTTTGCATAACTTTGGTGTCGCCGCTGCCACTGCCACCACTTTTAACCCTCCAAGCGTGCCTGGCCTCCTCCTGGAGGAGCTGGCCCCAGGGCTCACCTGGGCCCAAGGCATTCCAGACTCTATTAACTCTCCTGAGCTGCCAGCCCCAGCAGGGCTTGGGACAGGGTTTGCCCGGCCTGAGCAGGGGTTCAGTCACCCCTCTCTGTCCACTCCCAGGAAGAGAGGGGCTGCAGCAGCTGGGCACCCGCTCACAAGCATGTCAGGCTCAGCAAGCAAGCAGGTCCTCCAGCAAGGTGTCACCACAGCAGCTTCCCTCCCCATGACCCATCAAGCTCTCACCCAGGGAGGCTCCTGCAGCCTCCCTCCTGGGCACCTAAAGAAATCTCAAGCAGAGTGGGGCACAACTGCCCAATGCCTGTCACCCATGCAAGGAGTGTCAGTAGGGTACCCACCCAGGCCACCCCCAGGGCCAAACCAGGGTCTGCCAAGCATCTAACGGCACCAGCCCCGGCCACAGGGCACTGGAGACACCAGTGAGCAGTGGGATGGGGCACTGGCACACAGGGTCACACAGCACGGAGGGACAGTGGTACCGGGGGTACATGGGCAAGCAGAGCGTTGGGGCCACTGATGAGGCACGGGGGGATAGGGACAGGGCACGCGGGAGCCCGGCAGGGGGACAGGACCCTGGGGACGCAGCCGCCGCAGAGCCCGGCGCTGGACCGAGCTCGGGGGCCACCCGCCGCATCGCGAGCCCAGAGCTCGGCCGGAGAGGGG